GGGCACCCTGTGACAACCACCCCTCCCCACCCCCATACCCACAAAAAAAAAAAGAACTCCATCTTCTCTTTTTTGAGCCGGGCCGAAATTTATGACTTGCCTAAAATAATGTGTTTAATCACCATAAAAAAAATGTTTTAATCTGTATTTACATCGGATCCAAACCGAATTCGGACCGCGTTTCCGATATGCATCCATTCATACATACTGATCCAATTTTTTGATCGGTTCGGTAAGCCTTTCCGATCCGAAAATTGAGATTCGGTGTGAATGCAGCGTTAGTCACAAAATATGCTTGACAGCTCCATGTAGATTGTATCTCATATTTTAATACTGTACATAACAAAATGCGTTTCCAATCATAACCGAACCGGTATGCGTTATTTACGGTTGTCACAAGTGTTCAATGAGAGCGGAAAGGTTGGATGCACCTTTGATTCTGTTTTTAAAAGGGAGTAGTTATAATTAAAGAGTGGCACTAAAAGCGGCCTTTAGATTTCTCTAATTAGAGGGAAATTAAGAAATGATACATTTAAATGTCTTGGAACGGAAGTTATTGTATTTAATGCATGCTTATTCTTAATAAGGAATTTCTTGGTAGCCAGACATCATCCGTTTGATCCAAATATAAATTCAAATAAATTTACAAACCACAATGTACAATACTGACATCAAATGTACAGAAAATATATAATTAATTCAATGTCATAATGTCAATACTATGATAATGAAATAAACCAACCAGAAAACTAATACAGTATTTAAATCGGATTTATCAATCTATAGGTATTTCTTAAACATCTTTTTCCAATCATTGCGCAACAGTAACGGTAACATAATTATTTTTTACATCAACATGTAGGGCATGAAGCCATAACTCTAAATTTATATTAGAAAGATTTTTTTGTGTTTGTAGTCATAAAAGTATAACTTTCCTGTATCTGTTTTTGGGAAAGAGTCGAAGATCAAAACAAGAAAATGTAATTTTTCATCTCTAATCTAAATAGAATTAACACAGTATGCCAAAGTATCATTAATATAGTAATTATTTAGCCTTAATACAGACTTCAGAAGGAGGTTTGTCAGTGGCGTAACGCCTGTGAGCGGTCGTACGGCAGTCCGCGGGGCCCCAACACATGGGCCCAAAACCCATGGGATTATAACGACTTGTTAATGAGACAATTGGGGGTTTTTAATGAAAATACTCAGAAATAAATTATTTACATACTTTTTAAATCATTATAGCTTTGATTTTTTTTTGCATTTTATTTGCTGATAAACATAACAGCATGACATCGAATGTAGGACCAGTGTTGGATTCAAGGGGGCCCTGCCGGCCAGAATTCTGTACCCCATCCCCCCCCCCCAATTTTTTCAAAATAAAAAATAATGGAGAAAAAAAGAAAATTGTATTCAAATTTGAGTCTGAAAGTGCCATTTTTGGCCATCTAGAGGTACCACAATCCTAAAATGGCTGGACACTCAATCTGTAATAGTCCTTCACTGGGCCACCTTTATTACGAATTTCTATATAGGAAATATATCATAATTGTATATCATATCATTTACTTCGTCGTTAAAAACGTTTAGAATACAATGACGGACATGAACACAAAATAGAAAAAAACGAGCACATCGAAAATCTTACAATGGAATTGGCGTCAGGGACCTATGATCAATTGGAATGTTGCTAAATTTGAAAAAATTATTTACATTATTAACTATTAAATTTTGTAATTTCAGCTTTGTAAGATCAAGCCATCCTAACATCTATACTGGTAACAATACAATCTTTTTTGTTAACAATACTACAAACTTAGTAAATTATACTGCTACCTACACTGATATTTTTTTGTTATATATTCTCATTGTTTTAATAGATGAAGGTTTCTCATTTAAAAGCATTTCTTCATGATTCCCCTGCTATATTTACCTATACGTTAGGTGGTATGTGTTATATATAATATAATTTATATAAATAGCACCAGTGTAATTATATCAATCTTCCTGAAGAAGTTGCTGAGATAGCAACGAAAGCTTGGAAGTGTAATATTTTTATTTCAAAATTTCACTTACAGTAAGAACCAATTAAATCATAAAAATTCGAATAGTGTCGTATTATTTTTTACAATATTATAAAAAGCTTCTTAATTATTGTGCCTGTAATAACGAAAAGTATTCATGGTTAGTTGGATTCTTGGATTGGGGGATTTATTCGGTGTGAAAACCAAGGATAATCCACGAAAGTTTGAAGAAGACTTATTTCCAGTTGTGTCCTTCTGGTGGTGATTGGGCAGGGCCATTTTGCACACTGCGTCAATGGCTTAAACGTCCCATCCGGCGTGCGCTTTTCAAACTTGCATTTCAGCTCTCAAGCTGAAACACAAGGGGAGCAGCGATGGGAATTGAACGGTTTAGCGCAAACACAGTGTCTATCACCAGTTTAGCCGTCTGAGCTATCTGCTCTCAGTGTCGTTATCAATACAATTATAAGGCTATGGCCACCTATTGTAACCTTGCCAACGTCAAAAAACAATTGTTTCTCTGGAAAAGAATTCAAGATTAGATCAATATAATATGATGACGCTGTCTCCCATGGGTTGAGTTAAGAAAAATTGTGTAAATAAATATATCATTCTCAATCTAATTTAAAGGAATCTTAATTCAATGTTGAGCTTAATATTAAAATCGCCGACTGAAATAATTGTTTATGGCTCATTACAGTTGCTTTTCGCATCGATTATTAAGTTGAAGTCTTCATTAGTATGGCTAATGCTCTGTCCAGACTCTCAAATTATTTTTTGACGAAAACATGTCACATGCCTAAATATAGGTATGGTATTGATAATATCACATTATAACCATAATAGGTACATAATATCCTGATTCTCGCGAGAGCCCTAGTATCCGGATCGGGAGCTAACCGTTAGCTCTAACCGTTAGCACCTGTGAACGCCCGATCGGTTAGTGCTAACCGTTAACGGTATCCGGATACCGCTAACGGTTGGCAAGCGCTATCGGTTAGCAAGCTGAGCGCGTCTATCATCAACCAATCACACGTACGCATTTACAATTTCCAGTTTCTTATTGGCAAGTGATTCGATCATCGTATTCTTGGCATCCGGATCGGGATCTTCTCGTATGGACGCACGGCAGCTAACGGTTAGCAGGATCCGGATCCTGTTAACCGTTAGCTGCCGTGTGAGAACATAGCCTATGACTATTATAATTATGAGCATACAACAGTTTTTGTCAAAGAAAAGGTTGATAATCTGGACAGAGCTATAGAATTTAATCTTATCTTAGGCTCAATCCATATTTTTGGCCGGCTTTCTCCTTTCGTTTGTCATGTATTTTGGCACATTTTAATTGTTTATATTATCTTAATATATAAAAGCCATTTTTACTTTGCTTTGCTCTTTGATAGTTCCTAAATCTAAATTTCCTTTTGTATCTCTTTTTTAATTTATGTAGTATGTTTTTTATTTTGATTTATAGGGCCCAAAAACACAATATTATTAACATTGTTTCTTTACACCCTCAAACACAATTTTCTTAATTTCGCAATTGCAATTTTAAAATCACTATTTCTTAATGAATAAATACAAGGATTAACAATTGTGCCAACTACACACAATATATTAGCAACTTTCTGAAAATTGTTGATGAAATCATGATCAATATCGGGTTTTATCAAGTTTACGGTCAATCGTATCAATGATGGTAGCCAAAAAATTACAAAAGCTATTAAAATCATAGATGTAGTGTAAGTAGCCCTTAGCTCAGCAAGCGACTTAAGTCTTTTTATGCGACTAGAAAATTTGCTCCGCATAAATACCAAGCCTTTTTCTGTAACATCCTCATTTACGGAGTATCCGACGGAGTGGCAAAAAGTCGGCCTAGGTATTCTTTGTTTTATCTGTATTGCGTGGCGTTGGGCAATTCTGAATACCCGGATGTGTATAAATGCAGTTATGAATATCATCAACCATTCTATTATGCACACAAAAAATGGGAGAAATAAAACCTTTGGGTTATGCTTATACATGAATAACACGGCACTTGAAAGCGAGACTAGCCATAGCGCAAAGATCAAACATATCGTCCGCCGAAACGTTACGATTTGTGAGTAGCGAAATGGAGAAGTGAGAGCGTGGTAGCGGTCCCACGCAATTACCGTCAGTTCAAGATCAGAGAAGATACCGTAAGTGAAACAGCAGGCCACCAGGTATTTCTGTAAATTCCAAATGGCAGAGCAAGTGATTCTAGAAGTCAAAATACACAGGACAGTAATGTCGAAGAGAAATCCTGATATTGATAGGTGTATTAGGAAATGGTTATACATTCGGTTTCGAATTTTCTTGTGACTCATGAAAGCGGCAATAACGAGTAGGTTTACCATTACACCAAAGACTGATAGCGTGACGGATAATGTGATCAACACAGAAGACACAGCAGTTTGACACGAGCTAGCATTCGACCATGGTGGAACTATGTAATTGCTGTTCGACATTTTAAATTGGGCGATGAAAAAGTTAACTTTGATTATTAAACTGCATATCACTTTATCTGATCAAATATAGTTATCCATTACGCTCAATCACCAGTAAACTGGCTTACTTTTGTCTTTGTAACCCTGTTCTGCTAATGTCAATTGGGCCTAATTGATCGCCACACCGATTGTTTCAAACCTGTTGTTCTATTTTGGTCGCTACAATACACAGACAGTTTGTTTAGCCAGCCCTGTGGATTTTTATGTTGAAATACCTTTGATAATAATATATCCTCTTTTACATAAAAGTTCACAACTCTGAAAACTGTTCTCAACGACAGCATATGTTTAGTTAATAGATATTCTTTCTTCAAGCATTTGTCAAAGTGTTCACTTTTCACTATTATCATTCTTCTAATTTTGGTGATAATAATTCACGGTGCAATGCTGGCAATTCTTGATGACGACATCCAACTGAAGAATTCTCGAAAAATTGCATACGTTATTTTTGTTCTGACGATATCAGCTGTAAGCAAGTATAATATTTTACGAAATTAAAATTAATTGTATTTGTAAAATTTTTCTTTTAAATAATAGATAATACCGTATGCGTAGGCAAGATAATAAACAAAAATACTTTACCTTTTTGTAATATTAACACTTTCCTCCGAAGATGCTTTCGAAATCAAACCGATATTCCTCAAAGTAGTATCGAGTGACTATGCTATAGAAGCGTTGGTTGCGCAATGGATTTCGTTTAGATGTAGCGGAGAAATTCAGTGAAATTTGTATCTAATAATAATGAAAGATAATAAATAGGCGATTGGCAAAGTAAATCAGACAGCAACAATGGCAAAGTAAATCAGACAGCAACAATTTAAATAAGTGTATTACCATACACTTATTTAAATGACTAGATCAATCACAGATTAAACCCAACATTATTCAAAATCGAGTCATTAGGCCTCCATGGAGGAAATTAAGGGCCTACTAATTACAATAGCATCGTGACTGTAGGGGAAGAAGCAGGGGAAATATATTAAGTTCCTCCATGATCTTAAGCTGTGTAGAATTGTTAAGCATGAAATGATTATAGCAGCCGATGCAAATAATAGTGTGTTATGGTGAAGTTTAATCCGGATTCCTTTCTTAATTAAGAACCTTGACATATTAGACTTACTAGCTTAAAGGATGGTTTATAGTCATAATCCATGATCTATAGTCAAACTATAAAGCCTTTACACAGTTTGGTTGGCTCAATCAATCAATGAATCAATCAATCGGTTGGTCAGTCGACCAACCGATCGATCGATCGATAGATCAATCAAGCAATTAATCAGTTTATTGAATTGAATTTGGATCAATAAATCAATACAAAGTCACTGGCCTTGTGCAATCTCTAAATTTGCACATTCAGACGTCCTGTAAGCTTTGCTGGTATTGGGTACCGCGCTAGCTTTTACCTCTATTATTCATTAATATACACAGGACAGCATTAAACAACAGGATAAAGGATTTTTTTTTTCAAAAACAGAATGTTTAACTCTCGTTTAGACGTTGCAAGTCCACATTAGAACCAGTGAATAGTTTTCCTGCATATAGTTAATTAATCTGCAGAGGTGGAGATGAAAAACGAAGCTTGACGTGTTGAATACGAGACTCCAACTTACCTCTTGAATGTTTTATATGCCTTAAGAGCTCTCTCTTGTTCTGATGTCAGCTAATTGTCCTGCTGAAAAAAAACATCGTCATCACTACAATTTAGTTTTGAGAGCATTTTGTGTCGCAGCACTAAAACCTGAAACAAGGTACTAGAAATACAAGATAGAGCACTCGCATAGAAAAAATGAGGCGGAAATTGGTCCAGACTACGCGGCGCCCTTCTCTTTTTATAATGCAAGTTTTCTATACTTGGTCCAGATCATAGAGATATAATAAGAATACTAGAGCGCTAACAGCAATGTATTCGATGTTCGAAATACGCAGAGCTGTGTGTGTGTACCATCCAAGATGGCTGCCATAGATTCAGCCAATCAAATTTCGCCTGAGCACTATCATTTTCAATGGCGCCCTCAATTTACACAGAAAGTTCAGTACAGCTAGTTACCCAAGCGTTGCGATGTATGGGTGTAATGTACACGATTTCAATTCTTTTTAATATTTGAATAAGATGCTCTACTTGGTCTCTTTTTGGCTACGACAGTTTAATAATTTGTCATTATCAATACTAATTACCATTAATGAAATAATTGTTTAATAGCTCTATGGTCCAGACGTATAGGGCGCCCTTCCGTTGCTAAAAGTATAATGTTCCTATATAGGAACTCTAGCTAAGTATATCCAGACGCACACGGCGCCCTTCGTTTTCCATTAATGGAGAAAAACGTTATCACTAATCGGAGTCCGGTCATACGATTCTACGCTTTGGTGTCTGTCAATTTATTGTTTTGATTTATTTAATGCCTACTTGTTGTATTTTATGGATAATCGCAACGATTTCTACCTCTGCAAAAGGAGGTTATGTTTTCACACTTTTGTAACGCTAACATAAGTTTTTTAGATCCTGCCGTACGCGGCGCTCCATTGTTTGTATTACCACTGCATTTCGGTGGAACAGTTTTTTTCTGTGGAGAACTCTAGATTGTATGTTCTTTGAAATTTCATGTGTCTTGTTTTAATTTTTTGTACGTAGGCCTCATGTTATTGATTTTTTAAAGACTCAGATGGCAATCTTTGAAATAATGAATGAAGCTGATCAACTGACAACACCTTAAAAAAGAATTGCGTGTCTCAGCTTCAGATAGGGTTTATCAGCAAGTAGCCGCATTAAGCATTATCACTATAGAGAGCTGTAGCAGTGGCGGCTCTAAGATATATTTTCTGGAGGGGGGGGGCTGAGCTGTCCGACAGGGGGACTTGGGCTCGTAGGCCCGAGCGGGGGGAAGAGTTTGATAGGGTGTTCCCCCTCCCAAATAAGATTTTTTTAAGAATAGGAACCTCTGGGTGGCCATAAATGACACTCTCTCATTGTGACAGACATGTGTTGACTTGGCGTGGGCCTATTTTTATATACTTTTTAGTCCGACTGCCAGACAAGCTCTGTGAGATGGGGGATGGGGGCATGACCTGTCCGGTGGGGGCTTAAGCCCCTACTGCCCCCCCCCCCCACTCCGTTGGCGCCGCCACTGAGCTGTAGTTCAAAACAGACATCTACAGATCAACTACCCAACTAGATGCTGCCTGAACAACATTATTCAAGGATCAAAAAATCTTAACTTAAATTTAAACCATAATGCTCCAACATTTATTTTTATTTGCTTTGCCCATAATATTCTATATGTAGCATACAATATAATGCAAAAGCAGAGAAGATCTAATGCTAATTAACACATGCGAAGATAGTGAAAATTTACGCACTTTGTAGCACCGATAGAAATGACCAGACTTTTCACACTGCGGTAGTGCTGCCCTGAAAACCGCAGCTTTATCCGCACTGCTGCAGTCCTGAACCTCAGTCAAAATACGATATACTTCCTTGTACTTTAATGTAATTTGTAAATAGATATAAAATTCACTAAACAAAACTAAGTAAATAAGTGATAATGTTAAATCAACAAGTATGCCTATCTAGATTGATAAACAGTAAAGATATTTTTAATTATCAAAGGTTAAAATACAATATTTTAAATGATAATATTTTACTCTTGATAATTTAAAATATGTTTAAATGACATAACTAAAGCAAGATTTATTAAAGATTTAATGTTATTTATTATTATTATTATTATTATTATTATTATTATCATCTCATGGTGTAAGTGACTGCTATGAAAATAAAATGCTGTTGACGCGATACCTCTGTGGAGACATTAAATAATTGATCCAGATCAAATTTTTATTATAATTTCTTCTAATCTCTGTAGTTTACGTGCTATCATTATATAGTCCATTAATTAAGCTTAATTCCTTGTCATATCCAAACTGGTCCCTCTTTAACTGTATTAATATTTTTTTTAGCAAATAATTTTAATTGTACAGATCCGGGTAATTAAAATATTTCAAATGTTAAAACTTCTGTGAATTACTTAATCTCTATCATATATTAAATTGCAGTTACTGAATATCCGGAAATGGATCTGTGATTTTTTTTTTGAGTTTTCATTTATGGATAGTCTATACTTTTTTCTTTTTCTTTTTTCATCTGTTGTCTGTTCTTGATGGTTTATACGATATATTCAATTTTGTTGTTTAATCCCTCTCTCTTTTCCTCTTAAAAATTGAGTGATTCGCAGAAAATGTGTTCCGCTAATTTACAGAGACGTTTTCTAAATTAAAACGTGTAGGCACACTGATGATCTCAACAAATGTAGGCTCTATCAAAACACCTATTATATACTGGAAAGACATAGTAAAATATACATAATAGATTGTTTGACTTTGTTATCATTCATTCAGCGCTAATAGGACGAAAGAGGACGACCATACCACAAAGAGTCTTGTACATGAACGCCTTTTATCGTACGGGTATGACGTTCACCGAGATAGCGAGAGATAACGGGTTCGATTCCCACCACAGACAACTAATAAGGGACTTCCGTTGATGAACTATGTTTGATACAATTTATAACAATAATATGTTCCTATATTGCGCACTGTATTATTATCTATTTTTAATTTACCCATTAATTGTGCTTTCCCAGTGCTAAGCAGCAAACACTTGATTTGAATATTATTTCCTATGATTTACAAGCAACAACATATAAGCTATTACTCTAGAGATTAAACATAATGTGTGAGCCCTTAAGTTGTATGAAAAGAAAGATACGAGACTTTGAGTTCCCAGTGTTAAGCAGCAACGACTAGATTTGAATATATATAGGCATTTTTATGGCAACTCTGTTATTGGTGTTTTGATACACTGTTGAGTCTTGAATAAATAAATAAATAAATACACACACACACACACACACACACATACATGTGAAGTAGCTATAACCGATGACATTGAAAACATACGCTATAAGTGGTGACATAGTTAATCTTCGTTTTTTTATGTTAAAAATGTGTGTAATGCTATGTAATGTGTAAAAAAATCACTGAAGGTGAAGGCAAAGACTGTACCAGACGATAGATTTCTTTCTTTTCAAATCATATAAGATGTGTATAAGAGACAGGTTTTGGGATTACCGCAGATACTATTCTCCTGAAGACGATTGAAGAACTCGAATCATCGAGATATTCTCAACCAATAACAACAGTTATATATATTATTTGTATTAGCCTTTTCACACGTAGTCCCAGCTATTGTTTAGTTTTCAACCGATCACCAGCAGGTCTGACCAACCAAAATATATATGTATTTACTTTTGCTTCATTAATACTATTATTTATAATTTAAAAGCTTATCAAATGTCTTTTTAAATTTGACTTTATTATGATTATGAAAAACGAATGAAATGCAATTTTCAGCTGTCAATGCGAGTGTAAGCCTACCACAAGGGCCTCTGGTATATCGCCAAAAGGATCCAACCAGGACATCTCTTTTTAAAAAAATGATATGCGCCCTCACACAAAGTGGGACTGAGATGCGCTAGAAAGTAGTACTCCAGAAGTCGTAGCTGTATTTACAATAAAGTAACTATGGAATCAATGTTACTGCGTAGCACTTGTTATAACTTAATAATCAAATATTTGTAGAACAAAGGAACAATGAATTAAAGATCGTATCGGGCACAGCCTATCAACGAAAAATTTCCTTAACAATTGTTTGAAAGTCGATCTCTGCAGGAACTGAATCTGCGATCTCTCGCTCTAAGTCGGGTGTCGTACCACTTGACCACAAGGTCAGGAATATTGACTTAAGGTCGTCAGTCCCAGGCGGGGTCCCAGGTCAATCTTTGAATATCATCTAAGGCAGCCAATGCACCATATACTTGCCTCCAGATTGCCGACAGGGTGTCCAAGAGTCCGATAGTGTTCGAATCAAGGAAGCGCCTAAACTGAGACTGGAGACTGAGCCCCCGTTGGGGTCTCAGAATAGAATCCCTAATGGAGAGAGATTTTATGCATGGGGACTCGCTCCTGGACCACACATCCGAGAGAATTTAAGAGACGCCCTCTTACGCTTTCATTGGGGAGAAAAAGTATATACCGTCTTGCGGAAATGCTATATAATCCTATATAAATTTTGAACGTTAAAGAATTAGAATCCTCTGTGGTCGATGCAGACGCCTTCGTTGGGAATTCAAATCCGATTAGAGCAACTCTTACACATCCTTGGAACAACAATAGTTCTGCAAATAGTAGAGATGATACGCCCTCAAAATTTAGATTTAGCCTGAGGTGGTCTGTGGTCGGAACTTGGAATACCGTCTGAACTTTTAATCTTAAAATCTCCTGGATTCTCTACTGGAAAACCGTCGATCATTTTTTTCTTTTTTAAGTTTCTTTCTTTTTTTTTACCTTCCTAACCGCCCCTGCCGTCATTATTATAATAATAAGTGGAGTTTCTTTCGGTTACAGTCATGTGCACATTTATCAGGAATGCATGCGCTGCACAAACAAGGCGATTCGTAACCCAGTCGCCAGATACCAGAAGCTCTTCCATGCATACTAGAGAGAAATTTTAAAATGTAAAGCGCCCTCACATCTTAAGACGATGAACAAAATGAATAAATGAAAACAGATCGTTAACTATGGATACCCAATGAAATCCACACAGGCAGTGACGAAGGAAAGTCTGTAGCGATCGTCACAGTCGCGTCGTGATTCCGTTTACCGCCTTTAATGTATTATCATCATTATCATTCGCCCTTCGCTCATCTCGTTTTCTATTCAGACTAGATTTCACCTCCGTTAAATGTAGCAAAACTTGGAATAAATTTCAGGATTTATATATTAAAATTTTTGATTTGATGAAAATTAAAATTGAAGGTAAGAAATAATATTTGTTATTTAACACAATTCTCTCTTTGTTTTTATTAAACTTTTTATCATTATGTATCAAGTGTCATTAGTTTATTGTGGTTCGATTTCTGTGGCATAATATTTGACAACAATGAATAATGATATGGATGTATGGATACACTGCAATCGGTTAGATCGTCTCCAGCGTACTAATTTTGTATTCAACAGGCGGATGCACGTTATCGATACGACCAATATTCCCATATACGTGTAATGTATCATATCCATGGATTACACGCTCCGTGATTACTGGAAATAATATAACGATGCGTTCACACGTTTGGGAACAGCTGTGTATTTACATAGTCACTGGTATTTATTAACGTCGTAAGTATACACAACTTTTTGTAAAAGCAGAATACGCAATGGAAATGGATACAACTATTATATACTAAAAGCGGTATGTTTATGAATTGTAAGTGCATTATAAAAAGAGGTTTTTTTTGTACATAATACCAAGGGCGGATTTAGGGGGAGGCCGGGCTGGCCACAGCCACCCCCCACCCCCACCCACCATTTTTGAAGGTAAAAAAAGAAAAGAAAAGAAAGAAAGAAAAAAGAAGAAAGAATTAATCGCCCAAAACGCCTCAGAGGTACGTTATTTTCGCGTGTCTAGTAACAAAAATTTCGCGGGGGAATGCCCCAGACCCCCTAGGGTGGTGTTATATCGATCGGCCCAACTTTCGCCCCCACCCGCTTTCGGACATCTCTGGATCCGCGGGCCTGAAAACGGTACATAATTATCAATCTAACCATGAAAGTAGGCCTATCATTAATAATATGCTACCTCCACGATCAAACATGATAAGAATTAAGATATGATGATATAGGCCTAGTATAGTATAGTATGATATAATATGGTCTGGTCTGGTCTGGTATAATATGTTATTGACTGTAACTGTATGGCTGAGATGGATCACCGTTTGCTTTTTTTTTTTTTTTTTTTTTTTTTTTTTTTTTTTTTTTTTTTTTTTTTTTTTTTTTTTTTTTTTTTTTTTTTTTTGGGCATTACGAATGAGTACCTTCCTAGTATTTACCTGGATGTATTTAATATCGTAAACAGAAATTAAAGAAAATTGCTAGAACGTTATATATTTTGGAAGTATTCCATGTCTTGGTGGTAATAACGTCAGAAATAGCATGTTAAGAGGTGATAATCATATGATATGGTATGGTATGATATGGTATGTATTATAATTATATGACATGATGACAATATGATATGATATGAGATATGTGATATGAGATATGATATGAGATATAAAATGAGATATATGAGATATGATATGACATAATAATGATATATGATATGATATATTAAATGATATGTGATATGATGTTATGGTATTATAATAATATGATATGATATGGACCGATATGATACGATAAAATATTATATTGTGATATATAAATGCCTATGATATGAGATATAATAATATAAGTATATTCGTATTATCATATGATAATTTTATTATTATTATTTAGGCCTAATATGTTACTGTACGGTATTTAAAACTAGGGTTGCTGCGTAGAAACAATATGTATAGTTGAATAGTTCATATAATCTAAATTTAAAAAACTTGTGGAATTTTGGTCAAATTATAGACCTAAATGACACAATTGAATACCGTACGTCCTAGTGACGACAGCTTTAATTAAGGAGAGTAGACAGTTGCATTCAACAAAGTGAGATAGAGATAGTAGACAATTTGTAATGTGTAAAAAAAATCACTGAAGGTGAAGGCAAAGACTGTACCAGACGATAGATTTCTTTCTTTTCAAATCATATATATAACATGAATTTTATTAAGTATTCTCTACATATCACATTACGTATAGTTATTTACATTGCGGATACGTATCCTATAATGCATTAACTATCATAACGGAAATTATAGACATTTTTAATGGTCCTATTCATGCATTGAAACCACAGCCCCTATTAATCACGCAAATATATTTTTTGCTCTCTTACTCCATATAATGGATAAACCTATGCATGAGCTGATGGACATATATCTAGTCATAGCTTTAACTATATATGTTGGAATTCCAACCAACTTTAGCCCGTTAATAGCTCTCTTATGTACGGACCCTGAGATCCAATAATTCAGGCCCGTGGGCAGGATTTTTATTGGGTAGGTGCGAATTTGTGGAAAGTGGACCAAAATGTTGGGGGGTGGGGAGTGGGGTGGGGGCGCTAAAAACAATCCACCACTGGTTTTGATAGCCAGCACTATTCAGTGTTCTTATTTTCAAATGTTCTGTAGTCTATCAAAAATGTTGATGGCCTAACGATGAATATCAACTTAAATGTTAATGAAACTGATCTACACAAATTAAAATCAACCTGATTAAAAACACCGTTAAAATGTCATTAATTATACTACGGGTTAACGGTCATTAATATGATTACAATTTTAAGAATCGTAAATAAATCGAGGTCGGAGTAAAATAGTCCCTACAAATTGGACATACACATAGCCTAGATGTGAAACGTGCCACTTCCAACCACGTTGTATTTCAGATTTTCACTGCATAGGCCTATGTCAATAGACTATGTAAATTATAGAAAAAGGTAAATAAAACATTAATACATTTAAACATAAAAGAAATAAATGTAGGTCTAGCGCAAAATGAAAAAAATATATAATATTACTAGGTATTGAAAATACTAAATTTTTACTACAAATGTAAATGTTATTATAAATAAATGAAATTAATGGAAATTGCGAATATGAACAAATGACAACCGCTACGTGAGATGGGTAGACGTTAAAAATATAAAAAATCGATAATTCATAAAATAAGCCTATACTGATCTCATTGGGAATAGGGTAGGGAAACAATAAATCACTTCGTTTAATAATAATAATAATAATAATAATAATAATAATAATAATAATAATAATAATAATAATGATAATAATAATAATATGCAGAAATTTATAACGCGAAAATTTAAAAAAACATTATCAAAGGCGCAGTGAACAATTAACCCAATTAAAGCGATTATGTAAATAAAAAAGAGGTAATTAAAAAAGAAGTATTTAAGCGAATACGTCCACACTCTTCCGGGCCAGATAGGGACTTTAACATACTGTATGGGGCCGTGGCGGATTCAGGAGTTCGAAATAGAGGGGAGTCCAGGGAGGGACTTTCACAGAAATATTGGCTATTGGCCAGGGTTCACCCACCTCAGCCGACCCCACCATGGTTGGGGTTGAGGAAAAGAAAATTTATGATTATGGCACTTCTAGATGGCCGGAAATGGCACTCGTAGATTTAAACGGGAATAAAGATAATTCTATTGAAACCATGTAGAGAAGATGAGTGTTGTACGTGGCGAGTTATTGACACGCAACGGCGGGGAAAAACTCCAAAATTACTCAAAAAGCGTTTAAGTACAGTTAGAAGACATTGCTTGTACGACAAATTAGGGGCAGTCCCTAGTTGGAAACTGTTCTGATTTGTCAAGTATTTTTGGTGGATGGATTTCTGGGAGCATGTGAGAGTGTGTCTTGAATTTTCTACGCCGGGAAATGTCGACCATTTGTAATTTGGGGGTTGCGTACGCACCCGTCGAACCACCCCCCACCCTGCGCTGCGTACGGGCCTGTAATTATTACAATTGTTTTACATTCCTAATCTGTTCCTAGGTTAATAATCTCATTTAAATCTTGATATTTATTAAACTTATTGTTATAGCAAGTGTTAATAAAGCATTGAAAGGACAAGAGACTTCCACAAGATAAACCTTTCTACGTGTCCTATCACATATGAAAAGATCTGGTTTTCTAGGTGTTCTGACAAAATAAATTGAAGATTGTTAACGTTGAATTGGAAGTATTGTGTTTAGATACAATTTGAAGCGTAGAGAAGAATTATTAATACTATCACCATGGTAACACGAGATGAGACATCGCGACTGCCTAAAAACTGACGCTTTTGTATGCATTGGTAATTGTTTTGAGAGCCAGCAGATGGAAGAGAACGATTAATTCATAGAATGTTGGCTCATTATTTTACTCTCACACCTTGTAGTCGTTGTCGTCTAATATGATAAAGTAATCATTTATTTGATAATGATTGTCAGATCTATCGCCATAGACATCATAGTCAGGCACGTTCCCTCTCCCCGTTTTGCATATATTGAAATTAGCGTTACTCATTTATCTATTTAAAAATATTGTGCCCCCTTCCGTTTGAAAGGTTCTGTATCCGCCCCTTATAGTCATGACAAAATTATAATTTACTGTAATTATTATTACTATGATTATTATGATTATTATTATTATAATCATTATTGTTATTATTATTATTGTCATCATCAATCATTATCATCATCATCATAAATATCACTATAATCTAGTCTCATTAATATAATTCTGGTATTTCATAATTTATTATTATTATCATTATCATTATTTTTACAGTTACAATAATTAATAATATTTATTAGCTTGTCACAACTTTTTTTTTATAAGGCAACACGATTCAGTGATTCCTCATTATACTACTGATAATATCATATTCAAATTTAATGTATAATATACATATAATATACATAATTAGACCTTCTAAATTATTTAATTGATTATAATAGCGGATGCTATCCAAATATTTGTTTAAATATAGGGTATTGTATTAAATCTATGTTCCGCATCCTTACCTTACCGCTCGCTTCTCATCTGGAGATTGAGGCATTATGTTTTGCATTAACATTCAATAATTGTATATCGCTACATTTAAATCGTAAGTGAACGTGGGCCCTATTAAACAGAAATGAGATTTTTTTTTAAAGGAAAGTTAAGCCATGCCTATTTTATGCTAATAATATTATTATTCAAAATTTGAGACTAGAGTACCAACACAAAACGTTCGCGAACGTTGCGGTTTGGTATGTCACAAAATCGTTCACACAACGTTGCAGGAACTTTCAAACGTTATGACGTTGTGGAAATTTGGTTATAAGTACGTATTTATGGTTCTAAAAATAACGTTTTTTTAAAACACCAAATTGTAACTTTATTATAACGTTCTTATAACGTAATATTATTAACTGGGTAAAAAGCAAAATGTGTTTTTTTAAAAAGCAGAATTTTTTGTTTTGTTGTATTTGTTATATTTTTTCATAGAATACAGGTGATTGTATCACCACAAAAGAAACTCGGTTTTAATAGCTCCAAATACCTAGAACAAATAAACAATCGCTCAAAAACAGCATCGTAGCTAGTCGTGCGTGTATATGTCGGCACAACACAAATAAATAACTTTAGGCCTACAGTCGGCTCAGAGAATCACGGTGATTGTTATAGAGTCGCCGAGAGACAAGACGCGGTAAACTGAGGACAAATCAATTATTGTTAAACGGCTTTAGGAGTGTCGTTATCGAAATGGAAGAATAATTTTATG